AATACATACAAATATTATTTTAAAATTATAACAAAATAACATTAAATTGTTATTCATCGTTTAAATATAATATATGATTTAGTCCGAATTCGAGCGGTCATCCACACGGCCTAATTAGTTAAATTGTATCTGTATATCCTTAATATGTACCTATAAATGTTGTATATATTTTATTAATTAAATATTTAGATAAATGGCCTGTGCACGTCTGTAGTTTTTTTTCATCTTGGTAAAAAAGTCACATACTTATTATTCTGTACTATCCATAGATATAGATAGCCATAAGCTATGAAAGTCTTATTTAAAATAATAATGATAAAAAAAATAAGATCAAATTTGAACTTACTATGTGTAAAAAAAGTCGATGTATATTTTAGATTTTTTTTTAACAGTAGGTACCAATTAACTTCTTGAGAAATCTTGTATTCAATTTTTAAATCTTATGTATTAATACCAAAAATTGTATGCCCTTTTGTACGGTTAATCGTATTTGAATATTGCAACAAAATAAGACAATCAGGTTTTTACTAGAATGTGTATTTTTTAGATGTTTTGGTAACAGAATTAACTACTTACATGGAATCTTATTTTAAATTTTCAATCCTTAGATATAAAAGTTGAACCTTTTATAAATTTTTAACTACAAAATAATTATTCAATTTTCAATTTTATAAATTTTGTCAAAATTCGATCTTAAAATGCTTATAAAAAAAAATTGTGTCTATGTATTTTTAATATTTTTCAACTGATATTGTAACAATATATTAGGAGCCTTGTATTCAATTTTTACACTTTTTGCCCCAAAAGATAAAACTTTATTGATACTTATAGAAAAAAAAAACTAAAAAAATTTAAAACTGTAAATGTCCGTAAACTGCTCAAAAAGAGTCGAAACATTTTCAAAATTGTATATGGTGTACAGAAAATTTTAATTTAAACATTCCGTGAAATTTCCATGTATCTACAGTTATTCGTTTTTGAATTACAACAAAACGAGGAAATCGCTACATGAGAAATCGAGTGAATATCCAATGTTGTAAACATTTGAATTTCAAACGCTCATAAAAATTTAATTTGACTTTCTTAGAGACATTTTTTTTTTGGTAAAGGTAGATAATCTTATAAGGAATCATGTATTACATTTTAAAATCTTTGATTTAAAAAGAAAAATTTTTACGGATTCTTAACTCAAAATAATTTGCTAATTTTTGTGTTTTTTCCGTGTTATGTCAATATTTGAACTTTAAATGCTTATAAAAAAAAAACTGTGACTAAGGATTTTTAATATTTTTGAAACGTCATTGTAACAACATAATAGGTGCTTTGTATTACATTTTCAAGCTTTTTTAACCAACAAATAAAATTATATTGATATTTTTAGAAAAAAAAAACTAAAAAGAAATGGAAAATTAAAATTTCCCTAAACAGTTCAAAATAAATCAAAATATTTTGAAAATGTTATCGTGTAAAGAAAATGCAAATATAAACAACCAGTGAAAATTTCATGTATCTACGGTCATTTGTTTTAATGTTACACCAAAAACCAAATTCGATTTTGTTAAAAATCGATTTTGCGTAAAAATTCCCGTTTTTCCTTAATTTTTCTTTTGTTTCTCTTGGCGCTTTTGAAAATTCCTGGGAATTTTAAATGTTGACATCCCCAATGCACCAACGATATTCACTTTCACTTGAAATGAATAAAAAATAATTGATATAATAAATGATATAATAAATAATAGCAATATAAAATATCCACTGACAAACCGTCTCCGCTCAGAATCATTTTTCTTATACAATGATATTATAAATTATAATATCATTGAATTCAATTTTAATACAATCCATTATACAATAACTGTACAGCAGAGCGACATCCACTTACCCACTTTTTTTTTGTATTATTGCAGTTTATATATTACATAGCTACTGGTTTCATAAATCTGACATTTTAGTAACAAAGAAGTGTCTTAATTTTAATTCAGATCCTAAGGAATTTAATATATTGTTTTACGAAAACTTTAATCCTTGGCATATTATATGAGTTACTATAATAAACACACTTTAAAGTTTAAGCCATTAATCTACAACCTTGATAAATACCTACTTATTATCTTATAAGTAGGTATGTACCTATATAATATTTGATCATAGCTCATAATGGAGCAAAATACAATATTGTCTTGGGTTAATAGCTCACGTATCGGATATCACGGACATTGATAATTTGGAAGTACTTAGGTTGTAAAAATCTATAAAAATTAATATTAACAAATTTCAATTCTCAAGTATTGCAAAAACCCTTTGTTTTTAAACTAACTAAACAAATACACTTAAGTGAGTAGATACTATAGCTTACTATGAAATTATTATTTTAAAATTTATTCACTTTTATATTACGAAAATTGACTGGGTATTGACTGGGTGACTGCCTCCTATTTTAGACCCTCCTAAGTATATTATATGGACAATAGTAATTTCCTGTACGAGAGCAACAGGTAAACAATTACATAACTCAATTCCTACAAATGAGGTGTTTAAGTTCATACACGATAAAAAAAAATAGTCTACTAGTGTAAACAAATATCACAAAATTATGTTATTGCTGGATTTCTAAACGAAATATTTATTTAAGTATAATAACTTTTTACATCGTTTAAAATATAAAATGGAATATGAAATATTTAAAATTGTTATTAACTTCATATATATCATATTATGTGTTGTCGCCGCCTTACAGACGGACAACACGGAAAAGTTTACGTTCACAATAATACATTTTACTTTGTAAATTCTAAAATAAGAGTGAATTGACCTGTTATAAAATTTAAAGGTGTACTATTGTTATCTAGATTCTAGTTTTATAATTATTTATTTTATTTGTTTATTTATTCTAGTTTTATTACTCTGTGTCTCGGAGGCTTTTATTGATATTTTTATTCAGAAGCAAGTTATAACCTCTTTGAAACTGTATATTTTTTGTAAATTTTAAAATTATCATAACCTACTTCAAAATAATAATATTAATATCAATTTACAGTTCTCCGAGATGCCTTAGATAATAATCTTATCTTTAAATTGTATTATGGGACAATTCACTCTAGTTTTAAAAATAACAGAGTAAAATGGATTATTATTATTAATTATTTACGTACAATGTGATATGTTGTACGTTTGAAGACGGAGACAACACATATGAGGCTGTGGCATCCCATTATATTTTGTACTAGTTGATAACATTTATTTTTTTTATTGATCTCAAAAATAACCCGGCATCTGAGGCCATTATAGTTACAGTCATTACAATGTTTTAGGTGTTTTTATAGGGATGACAACATTTTAATACATACAATAATATAATATATTTTAGATTGTGAGTGGGGTGATCTTAAAACGATATACGTGTTGTATTATTGTTTTTTTGTGTCTACCAACACTTTTTGGTAACTGGAACAATTCTTTTTCGAACAACAACGAGTTTTCTCAGTTAGGCCCAGTATTTTTTAGATAATTTTACTTAAAATAAAATGCTTAGATTTGCAACTTCAATATCTATTCTAATAGGAAAGTGATATTTTGAGGCACCTCTCTTAATATTTGTTGAAACAAAATAGAATTTTATACAAACCCAAACTTTTCGTAGGTACATTAATATATTTTATGACAATGACATTTTAAAAATATTAAGATTAATCATTTTAAACTATATTATATTTATGCCAGGAATCTATTCACACCTTGATATAGTAAATTATGGTATTTTTTGCTTGAAAGTTAATAACAATAATATATGATCTAAATATTTACTAACCTATTATCAATATGAAAAACCCAATGTATTCGGTAAAAATTACTTCAACGACCATTTTTAAGGATTATTATCCTTAGCAAAAACATTTTAACAACTGAGAAACATTTTGTTCAAATTTTAAATTAGGAGACTAAATCAACATTTTTATAAACAATCTTAAGGATTTGAAAATATGGAGCATTTATTTAAAACTCATAACGCCAATAAATTGATTATTAAAAATGTGAATCGAAAATTGGGCTGAACGAGCTTGTTGAATTACCCTGTACATACATATAATATAATAGGAATTTATCGTTTTATTATATTTGCATAATATGCTTAATATGTAAATATTAGTAAACTATATTATTGATTTATATACACTTTTTGGTTCAATAAATCTATTACTCATACTCATTCATACTCAAGATATAGAGTAATTTTAAAATAATTTTTAAGATAGTTATCCTTTAAATGCCATATTACCGAAAGCAAACTCCATTCGGGATATGATGGAGTTTCAGGATTTTTTTTATATGGATCCACTACAACGTAAAATTTTAAAATTTTCCTTAAGGAACGTCCAACATTTAGTATTTTTTATTTAAACTCATTGTTGGTAACATTCCTTCTACAGCGTTTAAACTTTAAAGTGCCTACAATCGATACGCAAATTAAAGATTTGTACTACGTGAAAAATATAAATAAAAAAAATTACTCGAGTCTTCTAATATAAACATATTAATGGCAAGTAATACGGCTGATATCGATTTCTTTAATTACGATAGTATTTATTTATTCAAATCACGCTTAAAGTAAAAATAATAAAAATTCAATTTTTTTAAATTTTAAATGTTGAGTATTTTTAATTTGTTGTGGCATAATATTATGGTAATTGTTAAATGTAAAATATTAACCACTGTTATTGTAAATATTATTTTTGTAAATGGAGATGATATCCGTAATAAAGATTGTTATTATATTCTGTTTCACGCTGCCCTATCACGTGAGCATTTTATTCACATTTTTATACTGTTTTGAGTGGTCCATTTTTAGGTCTATTCTCGTAATATTTGAAGATACCACTTTTAAACCCATTAATGTGATATTATTAATATTCAATAATTGGAGAATGTGCTTTTGACACTTTGTGAACGGTCATATTTTTTCTTAACGCCGTTTCTGAATTGATTTAATTTTTATGTTACAGCTGGTGGTCGATGTGGTCGTATCTCGATGTTTTGATGGTTTTGTGCATTTGCACTGTAGAACTATCGGCCAAAGGTATAGTTATGAACGAGCCGTGCACAGCTATTAACAGTTGCTGTGTTCGCAACCACACTCACTCTTGGAAAGACAAAATGCAGTTGTACTGTTCGGAGATCCAAAGCATACCGATTGTTGACGAAATAATACACGTGCTGTGAGTAAAAATATGTACACCCATTTCATAGGGTTTTATTTTTATTATCTTATAAAAATATCGATATGTATTTTCTAGAACGTTTTTTTTAAAACACGAATAAAAATGTTCGATGTTTTTAAAATATATCTGCTAATACTTCCTACATTTATGAAGGAGCCGAGTTGCTAAAATGATTTTTTCAATTAAAACAAAATAGTCTTCTTATCCCGGAAAAATACTTGAAGTAGATTATATACCTACCTTACCGCAAATAAATAACAACATTTTGCCCCTCAAAATGATACTTTTCATACTGTCGTACAAGTTCGATCACAATTCATTACAATTTATTGTTATTGTCAACAGGCAACAGCTATAATTTTCATATAGAAAAGTACAAGTTCGAATAGAACTATTGAGGATGTTGGTTTCATAGTAAATTTTGTTCGTGTATTAAACTATTTTTAGTGGCTTGGCGCGGCGCGTTAGATGCTCCCAGTCACGCAATGAGACTGAGAGTAAGTAACGTCCGCAGCTACTAGTTCTCGGATGGGTGACCATCCGGGTTCGTAGTTGACCTTGCCGCACATACACGTGTTGCTTACCTACCGTAACAACACCTTACCGTACCAACCTTACCAGCCACAGTTCATAACCCCTACAACAACCAATGGCCATAGTCGCCGGGCTGAAGTTCAATAAAAAAAAAAAAAAAATTATTTTTGACTTACAATATAAGGCAATTAATATTACTCTATTAACTAAGATTATTTATAAGCTCACCCTTAAACAAAATAAATCCAATATTTATAAATTAACTGAAAATCTGCATACGCGATGATAATAATTCATTCATTCAACTATATAATATTACACAAAGAATAAATAACCACGAGAAGAATACGTAGGTGCAGACATTACAGTACATCTATAATGTCATTCACCCCAACAATCTATGAAGTGAGTGATACAAGTGAATGGGGAGTAGATAAAGGCAGTTTTGATGATATATAGGGAAATTTTTCCATAATTTCCATAAAAACGAATACGCCACTCGTAAGTCGTAATAACATTTTGATACAACTTTTTCGTTAAGCCATAACTAAGCCCCACGCATTAAATTATTTATTCGTGGTGTGAAAAAAATTATTCAAACGATATTTTCTTTATTTGAAAAAAAAAAATAAATAGTTTTCAACTATAATGAATGAATATAAGTTTTGAGTACTATATCTTCAGTTACATACTAATATATTTGTTCAATATTCAATAATTGTGTTCAGTGGTGTGTATATTTATTTTAATGTAATGCTTGAGGAAGGATAGTAGAAAAACTAACCTGTGTATAAAAAATAGGCTTTTATAAATATTTTAAATGCTTTAAAAAAAAGGTCATTGTGGCCAAAATAATAATTTTAGGCACCTAAAAGTCAAGCCTCCCGCCCTCAAATTTAAAAGTATAGTCACGCTAGGTATATGCTGTTATATATAGGTACTAATATATGATATTAGCTGTGACGATTTCAAACATTCGCGTTTCACTATCATAGTGTGAAACCAGCATCTTACTGAACAGTGGTTATTATAGTAAGGTACATTATTTATATAATTCAAAATTGAATTAGCAGAAATAAAATCTTATTGTACCAACCTATCAAATATAATATTTATTATAGAATAGCTATATGCCTTTATCGTATTCCGTAAAGCTTTAATACAAATTGTATGTGTATTATACTAACAGTGGGTACAAGTGCTAGGTAACAGGAATACTAAGTTTTATGGAAACGAAAAAATCAACTATAGGACATAGGTTAGGTACCTAGTATGTACCTACAAAGGTACATTAAATTATGAGAAAAACAAAATGTTTGTAACTACATATTTTTTATTTATGTATCTTGTAATTATTTATTTAAAATCATTATTATCATCGTGCATATATATATGAACGTACGCTTAACAATAAAAGTTTCAATTCGTTAATTTTTCAACCACACGAGTTATATCTATATTCCATAACATTCTAAAACCACAATGAATGTACTATAATGTACTAACATAATGCAGTTACAAATGTATTATTATTTAATTATTTATGTACTCAAAAATTTAACCATAGGATAGGTATAGTTATAACTAATATCGGGTTTTATAATAATTGCAATTTATTAATTAAATAATTGTCATAATTATATTGTTGAGTACATTGTACAAACGAATAAAACATACAATTATAGAGTAATCGTAATATGATGCATACATCTACATTAAACTGTCATTATTGAATATTGGCAATTATTAATACTTTGTATGCTTATCATTAAAAGTTTGGTTCGAAAAAGCTGTGCACTTCATGACGATCATCTCGTGATCGTTACAGCACGTGGCTTGGTACTTACATGAATCTTTAACAATATTGGGGGTGCAATAACAATTTAGGAAAAACTTTCTCCAAACTTAAAACCATTCATGTTAGGTACCGAGAGTCAACAAAACAAACATTATTATTCTGGTTCAACAGTGTTTTGTTGTTCGTTTCACATTCATAATACTTATTTTATACTGACCAAATAGTTTCGAAAGCCCTAAGAAGTGCTAGACTGAGGTTAAAATAAATAATAATGCTGTTCCACACCCATAAACATTATAAATTGTGTATCTACCTTATTGCTATTGTAACATATTATATTATTTAAGTGACTATAATGAGTAGGTATTTAATACTTTTAGCCTATGATATTAGGTTAATACACTAGTATAATACTATAATACAATATAAACATACCAAGCATAGCATAAACATTGTATTGCTTAATACTAATCATCTTGATATTTTTGATTTTAGAACTATAGACAATTCAGCCGGTATTAAAGATTTATCGGAAAAATCGATTAGTCGATATAATAATCTGACAGATATGTAAGTCAAACAATAATAATGAGTACCTGAATATTAGACATTTAATCTCTTAATATTATAAATAAATACAATTTTGTTTTATAGAGTATTGAACAACATGACAAACCTAGAAAATTTGGATTCGTCCATTTTCAAAAACTTAAATAAATTGAAGTCATTGTACGTTTTTCAATAATATTAACAAATTATATTTTAATATCATGTCTGATGTCTTAATTACATTTCTAGGTACATAATTAGAGCTAGTGCCTTGACCGAACTACCCTACGATATATTTCTTGATCTATCAAAAACGCTTTTAGTACTGTGAGTTTATGAAATAGATAAACTAAAATAAATAAAAATGGATAATATGTAGTAAAAGATCTAATCAATAATTGTAATGTATTAAAATATTTAAAATGTATACATTATGTACCTATATCACTATTCACTATTAAAGGAGCACAAAACAGAAAAAAAATAAGTTTTTTTAATTTGAAAGAATGATAAATTCTAATAATAATAGTATAGATTTTACGTTTCTACTCACATTATTCAATAAGTTATGATTAATTGAAAAAAAACAAGTGGCATCATTGGACCCTGCTCATCGTAATTTGTAATAGCCTATCTCATACGTGTAAAAGTTACTCTCCTCAATCTAAAAATTTTATTTTTGAAACTTAATTTACGTTAATATGATGGTTTTATGTGTTTAAGACGATACAAGTATGAGAATTTCAATATAACGTTTCTTCTTCTTCTTCTTCTTCTTCTTCTGCTGGCATTTATTCCTCTTTAAAGAGTTTTCGGGGCCATCACGATCTGCCTCCACTCTTTCCTGTTATGAACTAAATTGTTCTCCATTCTCGTACTCCTGTTTTATTGAGATCTTTTCCATGAAGCACCGTTTAACAAAATATCACTTTTAAGATTTTTAATATTTGAAAAACTAAACTTTATATTGAAATTCCAATAATTTTTATCGTCTTAAACACATAAAATTACACATTTATACATAAATTAAATTTCAAAAATAAAATTGTATTAAATTGTATTAAATTTTGGTAAATCATTGTGTGAAGCGAGGAACTTTTATACGTATAAGATAGGCAATTACAATGTGCCGGGCTCAATGACGACACCCGTCTATTCTACATTTCTTAATATCTCTTAAAGTAATTTTATTACATCGGATTTACGTCAAATCATTTCATATAACCAGCTACAATAATTTAACATTTAAAATAAATGTTTAGTTAATTTTGTTTTGTGTTGTGTGCTCCTTCAATGTATTAACTGATAATTACTTATCTTACGCACTTTTGTTTTACCATTTAACAGCTCAATGAATTATTTATTATCTCAGTTGTACATTACATAATTAATGTTTAAATCTTTAATTTTATTAAAACTACTGTGAAGCTAATATTTTGCTCAAGTCTTTTTGATTAAATTTTCTTTTTTACAATTGTGTTTTTTTTTATATCCTGCTCCTAACTGTATTTAATGATAATTTAATGAAATAGGTATTTTTGAATGATAACTTCTTTTATTCGCAGTTTTGAAAACGTTTAAATATGTTATTTTATTTACAAAATATTTATTTTTATTAAATGTATTATTAATAAATATAAACTATAACTAATATAATTATATTAAATTGGTCTTCTTTTACTACATTTTGAACATTATACATTAAACCAAAATGATTTAATGGTTTTACTATTCCGAGAAAGGGAAATTTAATATTTATGATGTTTCCTTTATAGTCGTGTAAGTAAAGCGAACCTAAAGGTCATTCCCGATCTTTCAGACCTCGGAACTCTGACTGCGATGCACACAATGTAATATAAAACTATTGGCATTTTTAAAGTAAAATATTATAACAGTCAACGACATATTTACATTAAATTTATTTTTAGCGAATTTGAAGGAAATCAGTTGGACATATTACGAACGAATGGAATTAGAACTCGAGCAGACCAGTTGTGAGTACTAGTAATTAAGCAAAAATCATATAATTAAATTAAATAATTTTTTTTTTTTTGATTTCAGTCTAAACCTATTATTGTATTTTTTAAAAATTTTTCTTATAACTAGACCTCTAAAACGTGGGGCGCTATAATCGTAAATGTTTCACAGTGCCCCCCACGGAATTTGACTCCCCACAACCCCTACTACTGAAATAACTTAATGCTATAAGTTATAAGTGATAAATATACAACAATCGATATTTGAAAGCTTTTTACACACTTCATAATATTGATGATAAAAATAAAATACCTATACACCTACTTTTTTTATTAGAGATTTGAACGATGAAATGTTAATAATTAATATAGAACTCATAAAAGTTTACCAGTAAATAGTAATTCACAGATCACCACACCATACATTCTGCTTTTTGATGTAACTCACTGAATAAAAATTTCTCGTAAGAAACCCGTTCCTATGCAATGTGTATCTTAATTCTAATGGTCTGTAAATATTATTAGAATATTTACTAATTTATAATGAATTAATATTATGATTTATACCATAATTAAAAGTCATTTTTTGGTTAATTTTTTTATAGCTAAAAACATAAAATTATTTACTATGATAATAATAATTAGACGTAGGCCTAAAAATACAAGGAATGCTAAATTTTAACTTGGGGGTGCTAAAGACCCTTTTGCATAACCCCAACCCCCTTCCAGCCAATGTCTGTAGTATGTGACCTCTTATGATTTTTCAAATATTAGTTAATTTAGTTTTAAGCTAAGGTCTGCAAAATAAATATTTATACATATAAATATTATAATCTAAAATAGTACATACAACGAAATAATACTATATAGTGTCTATAATTTAAAACATTTTAATATAGTTAATTTTAGTAGGACGTGTATAAATGTAGTCTATACATATTACATTTACCTATAAATATTTATAATATTAACTGTTTCAACTGCATTGCTTTTTCCAATGACTGTTTTTTTAAACAATATTTTACATTTTAATCAAAATATAGTAAGCACGTATGAAGGCAAAAAAAAAAAAATAATTAAGAAACACCTTTAATAATTTTTGCGGAAATAAAATAGTTACAAATTACAATGTATACTATAGTTATAACTTATATCCACTATATCCAATATAAATCCATAACTTTAAACGAGCGTATTGTCATAATTTCGTTGTGTGTATTTTACTTTATAATTTTTTGTAATATTTTGTTGGGTGCTGTAGTATAAGTCTAGTTATATTGAAGAGGATTTAAATGACAGATATTTTGATGAGGTTACATTGTTACTGGATCAAATCAATTATCAAATGACAGACCACTTTAAGAAGTTTGTAGTCTCTTAAATGGCTTTAATATTGATGTGTAAAAACGATCGTTTATTTTGTTCATTAATTAGTCTTAGCCTCCTGGCCCTAAACATTATAAAGTGAGTGAATGTACAATAATTGTAAAATACATTACAAAAAATATTTTGTAGTAAAAATTTAATTCGTACGATTTTACAAACTTATTTGTTATTATCATAACTTGGAACGTTCATAATATTAATGCAATATTAATAGTAATTAATAACCGACATTGGTTGTTTTAACAGTCAACCCCGTCTCGTCGTGCATCGTCTTTGTTCCTATAAAATGAAGCAATAATATGCTATTTTTTTTTTTTTAGCTAATTTTGATTTATGAAGGTATTTACTGTCAATACCTCCAAAATCGATAGGTGTAGTCGCCACAATCGACGAATTTTAAGTATTTTTCCTCATCACATTGAGTGCTTAAAGTTTAGCTACACACATTTTATAATTATTTCCAAACAATTAATATTTGTGAGAGGGTCTAGTACAACAGAATAGTAGCATATGATATTCTGCCCCCCCTCCACCAAGTTACCACTTATGGTATACAATGATAATAAAATCAACACATTATGACATTAATGTCTTTGATTATCAACTTAAAAACCAATTAATTAATAATACATTATCATACAAAATTATGTACGGCTTATGTTATATCATAATAATTCATTGTTTGTGTGCTGTTGTCTTACATTTAATTGATCTAAAATTATGAAATACACAGTTATACTTTTATTAAATTACTTTTTTCTATTGTAAGGGATATATCATTTATTAATAAACGAAAGATTACAATATTATTTGTACATAATAATTATATTCACTATACGATTTTAAAATAATTGCCATCTTACCATTTTGTTCATACAGTCTATATTAATTAATTTATCATTTATGTATAAGGTATATGTAGCCATGTATAGGCACTCAACTTTGTGTTTATTTGTCAAGTTATGCATAATGCTCGAAACTACAACTAATGTTATCAACATCTAGGTTTTTCAATTAAATTAATTATAAAATATAAATAATTGAGTAATCACATTTTACACTTCATACATGTTTGATAAATCTTCCAAAGAATACTTATAAAGACTTTTTAAGATATTTTGAATAGTTAAGGTAGGATTTAATTTAATTAATATTTTCAAACATTTTAAGTTAAATGTCAAGTCTTACAACTCAAAATAACACATTTTGTCAAAATAAATTAGTTTTTAATTGCATCTACATAATCAAATAGATTTGTTAAACATGGATTCGACATACATTGTTTTATTTATATCATCGGGTTTTTGTTAGTTTTTATAAAACTACTAAACAATGTCAAAAAAGTGTTATGTTAAGTACCTTTTGGGCTTAATATATAAAAAAAAATAAGCTAGGTACTCAAACAATGCATAATGTTTGGAGTACCTACCTATACTCATTCAATCCAAAACAATTATAACAAACAGTACTAAGATTATAGTAAACAGTAAATTTAATTCGTTATTGATTTCTAAGTTTTCTATTGTGTTTACTACAAAATATGGTTTTCGTAGACATTTTGTAAATATTTTTATTTCAATTCTATTCTCTGTTCTTTGTCTTAAATAAATATCAATAACAGTAAATATAATTTCGCTGAACATTGAACTTGTTAAATAAATTAAACTACATACAATAAACGATGGCTTAAAAACAGCAAAACTAAAAAGTTTTCTTTATATATATGCACCTACCTGAAATTTAATTCATATTTGACAGAATATTTCTTATATACGAGTATAATACGGCTATACGTCTAGTACACAGTTATTACGCTGTTGCTTATAACATGATGTTTCTAAAAATAATTTTTACTATTTTATTTTTGAAACATTGTAATAAAAATAATGTTTACTCTTTTGTTTCGAAATATATTTTTAGATTATTGGAATATAATAAAATACACGTAATAGAAAATTGGGCGTTCAATGGTTCTGAAATTTCAAAACTGTAAGTAAATTGACATGACGTATAGTTAATGGATTTCTTTTTAAAAACTATTATAAGCTGCTGATTTTCTATATAATTAATTATATTGTTTTAATCATCTGCATAATTTATTAATTTTATTACAGGAGTTTGAGAGGAAATTATTTAGATTTTTTGTCCGAACACAGTTTTGATGGAATTTTAAACTTACGGACACTGTAAGTTTTTTAATAACATCAATTACTAGTGCAAATAAATTAGTAAAATTATCATCATAACTTTTTTTAAATAATAAACAATTTCTGTACATTTAACTGTAAATTGTCTAAGATTTTACATAAAATATTACTTTGTTTTTCCAATTTAGTAAAAGACCATTTGTGTTAAGTCTATAAACAATTAAAAGACTGTATTTATACAACATTCGAATATTTTTTTTTACAGCTCTAAAAAATAAATCATTTTAAAATTAATGTACTCTGAGTTTTATAGTATGAAACTGTTATTTGTTTTTATATAATTTATAAATAATCGATAATTAGCAAATTACTTTTATCTGCACATGTAATTTTCGTTGTTTTTTCATCCACTGAAATTTAAGCGTTCTTAATTTCTAATTAATAACGGACATTTTTTATAATCAGTATGATGTGTATTTTTAGAACTGATTATTATTTAGACATTATAATATTATATACATTTTTATTACTTAATTATTTAATTATTTAGTGCAATTATGAATTATATTAATTTGGGTTTGGAATATTTGTATTATAAATTATTGTATTTTAGAGACTTGTCACATTCCTCTGTGAAATTATTACCGACGTCGGGGTTGCAAAGCTTAGAGATACTTCGCATCGAAAATGCTCCTCTAATGACTGTGATTCCTTCAGTTTACTTATTTAGTGTATGTAATCACCCACGACATTATTTTATACTTTTGAGTTCAGAAGCGTACGCAGAGCTGCTTGTCAGGGGAGGCAAGACTGTAGCCGGGGGGTACTGGGACCTGGACTCTTTCCCCTCCCTCCCCACAACATTTTTTACCGAATTTAGTTTTGGGACGAGACTTTGAAATTAATTCTCACACAAAATCATGGACGTGGTCGTATTAAGCCATATTGCACAGATCGATCAATACGATTAGGATAAATAGAAAAATATTACAAAAGTTTTCAATGTGTCCTTTAATAAAAAATAAGTAAGAATAAAATATTTAATAACAACAATATTCTGTTGTTTAAATATTTAGCTATTATACCATGTTTGAGGTTGCGGTATGCATGTTCAACAGTGTATGCGCAGCAGGTAGGTATAATCATTTATCCAATAACCGCACAGCTGAAACCGTGTTTTCATTAGATAAAGTAGGTATCTGTATAAATATAATAGAACGTTATTGTTTTTGTATTATGTTAGCATAATGTAATGCATATTGAAAATATTTTTAAAACAATTTTAAATACTTTGACGGATGATCTCGGGGAAAGTCTCGTAGGGGAGACAGCTGCTTCCCCTGCCCCCGCGTGCGCACGCTTACGGGTTCATCTATTGTTGTTGCTTTATAATAAATGCAATTTTTTGTGATTTCAGAATTTAAAAGAAGCTCATCTCACGTATTCATTCCACTGTTGTAGTTTTCAGTTTCCAGCTAAACATGATTATGCGACATACGACTTCGATAAAGTAGGTGTCAGTCAATTATCATCATGCTGAAAAACTTTTTTGATCAGTTGTTTTAAAAATAGAAACCTACAGAAATCTAGTCGGACAACCTTTTTTAATAATATTTTCGTTTTGTCACTGTGCGCTGGCTAAATCGTATCGATTTATTTATTCATAAATATTCATATTTATATTTTCATGTATATTTATTTACTCATTCAAACACAAAATCGTTTACATGTAGAACGTGAAACATCACTTTTTGTAGAATTTTATAATATATTACTATAATAGCATTTTGTCAATGACAGATTAGGTAGTTCTCTATAGGTATTTTCAAAAAAAAAAATGTTTGATGTTCTTGAATTTACAATTATAAATAAATATTTATTAGTAGGTATAGGTATATTTTATAGTTTGATTATGTATCGATGGACAGTTTTTCTTTTTCGCATTGTTTAGCTTCTCTATGTCAACTAATTACTATACTTTGTAGACATTTCCCAATAAACACTAAACACACACTTTAAAATCGTCAAAATATTAATAATATCAATTTAATGCGTACGATTTATGTTTGAAGTAGGTATATATAAGCTTATAATAGTTGGTATAGTCTTTCCTTTTTTTTTTTTTTTTTGTTATTTTGTTTGTTATTGAATTTCCTTATAAAACGTTTTTGTTCCTCTTATTCGCATATTATCATAGGACGGCCCTCAAACTCCGAGTGAATGCATTCAAGCGAAAAAAAAAGACGTTAATATAAATATGGTGTCCACCGATTTGATGGAAAACGGTTATATTGATTACGCAAACGACAGCGAAGAAGAATTTTTTAACGAGCCGGCCATAACAAACAGTACCCTGGACGTTATGTGTGGCAATATCACTCCGCAAAACACGTAAGTAACGCCTTATAGCATCCTCATAGTTTCTCTACCTAAATTGCCACTATAGAACAGTGGTAGACGAGTTTTTAACAACCATAATATATTTTATCGAGTTGTGACGTCAATATTATAATATCATATTTAAGTCCTAAACATATAAACGCGTCACGAGCACTGCAATTTAACAATTATTAAAGAATTGCCGTGATCTTAAGACACATGTATTATATTTTATAATATAATTTTTATATTAATAATTGCTATGTAAAAATAATGAACGCATCGGCCGTGTTGTAGCACGGCAGTACGAAATTCAAACTGAAACAATCATTAAATATTATTATTATAATTACGCTAATATTCTATAAAAAGTTTTAAGTTTACGACCAGTATAATTATTATTATTTACGTAGGTAATAGTTATTCTTCGATAAGAAATAAAGCTTGAACAAAAAAAAGAGGTTTATTATTTTATAGGTCACGTGGTATATTTGCGTTTCAATGAAATTGAGATAAAAGTTTCGACAGGATAGTTACGCGTAGGTACAATTGTGTCTGCAGGGACGTTTGGACGTTGCAGCCGATTACAATAATGGTACCTGTTGTTTTTATTGTCTTGACATTATTATGTTATTTGCATCTTAAATTTAAGTCCTACAAGTCCATTATGGTTAGGTTAGGTTAGGAAATAAACCCGAAATAAATCGTTCACGGCAACCGGAAAATTCACTTTGCGCACGATCCGATTCAAAACGTATTTTTAAACAGTGATATTTACGTGTTATAGTTCTATACACTTACCTTTACAACAATTATGTATTTTATCAAGCAATGTTGAACACGAGTTTCGAATTTGTTGTTGTTGTGAAAAAAACACCCTAGTCTTTCATAAAATATGCTGTCGAGCTTGAATTTCTTTTTTAATAATAATTAAAACGACGATAACAAATCACTCACGGACGCCATGAACTGTACCATAATTTAAACGACATGTTGTTCTCACTATATTGATATAATAATTGCAGGACATACCTGCCCCCGTGTATAATATTATAACACTGTGTCGGACAAAAATCCGACTTGGCCGACCTCAAAGCCGACTGGAATAATATCACTTCGTATTTTGTTCTAGGAGATCCGAAGTCCAGTGTTGGCCACAACCGGACGCCTTGAACCCGTGCGAAGACATAATGGGTTTCTATTGGCTTAGAGTGTGCGTTTGGCTGGTGGGAATCACTGCGTTGCTGGCAAACTTGGTCGTGATGACGGTGATTTTCCGTAAAAATTTCAACTACTCCGTGCCTAGGTTCCTGATGTGTAATTTGGCTTTCGCCGACTTTTGCACGGCCATCTATTTATTGCTATTGGCCTACAAGGATTTGGAGTCAAGTGAAAAGTATTTCAACTACGCTTATTCGTGGCAAAACGGTAATATTATTGCACGTCAAATATCACTTCTTTAACCATAACTGCAAGTAGATATAATAATATATAATATTACGTCCGCCGCGATGGCGGATTTGAATTTATCGGCTTATCAGTACCTACCTGTTGTGCCTAATTATTTATACTAGAAGAAGTATAGTAGGCAGTAGCAGTGGCGCACTTCATTTGGGGTGGCAGGGGGTTCGATGGTTATTATTGACCAACAAAAATACATCTCACAAGAAATTAATTACGATTAATACCATTATTAAGCCACTGAGAAATAAAGTACAACCTCAATTTATTTAGAAGGTTATATATTTATAGTTCTGTCTGGACGATAGGGTGTAGGCGTGTAGTCTCTTATTTTTTCACATTTATGAAAAAACAATCTCTTCGCATGTTTTACAGATATTCCACAGCCACAAAGGAGAATGGGTTTTAATATTAAATTTGTTAGTGATTTTTTTTTGAAAACAGATTTCCAGCAGTTTTCTTTATGTTTAGGTTATTTTTCAAAGTGCTTATATAAATATAAATTTTTATTTAAGAATTTTGAAATTTTTTATTAAGAATAACACTACCCTCATCGGTCTTACATACAAATATCAAACCATAATATTCCTCATAATACAGATTAAATCTAAAAGTAGTGTACCTATTCATAAAGTTAGTACTTATTACCTATAATACTATCATTTACATAATAATAGAGGTATTCAAATGTGTCATAGAATGATTTAAATTGTTATTTTATGAAGTAAGTCAGCTATTATGGGTATGCATTCTAACTATTTTGTCTTACTCCAACTAAAATGATTTCTGTGTTGGACTGAATAATTATTTATATTTTAACCCGAACTGACTAAAATATTTTTATGAATTTTCAATCATAAATGTTATGAATTTCTAGTTTTTATGTTATAATTCTATTTAATAATAACTTTAAACAACTATGGACAATAATAAAAAAATTTCAATGAATTGCTACTTCATAAAATATGTTCGTGGCATGCCTACCTATATCTGATTATTATGATTTTATCTGGTTCCTATTGGTGATCAACTGAATATGTCTAGACGAATTATGTCACATTGTAGGGTTTGATGAGTATAATATTATTGAACAATAAATTAATATTAATGTTATTGAATTATTCATGTGAAAATAATTACATTTTTAATAAATATTATTTTTTTTCCAATTTTTATCAGCTTTTACTATACTTACATTATTTTAGTTTGTTACATACAATTTAAATACTACCTACCCATGTATCTAATAGTTATTTTTAAAGTCACTATTATGATGCACATCTGTACTATAATCCATGTGGGTACCTATAGGCTATAGGTGTACCTATATTTTTTTTATCGAAAGTCGTATGCGACAATACACTATAAACTTAGATGTAGATGCTATAATTGTAATACTTAATTCGACCCACTTAAAAGAGCTATACCATTATACCAACCCATTTCAATATTTATTGGGTCAACTGCAATAAAATAAATCATTATAGACATATATGTGTTCGCATTGATAGCAACAGTATGTATAAGACTGTAATATTCGGACCATGTTGAATGTTTTTGCGTATTATAATAATTAGAATAATTGGTCTTGTCACACATATTATATTATGATATTATGTATATTTGTATATAATATGAATATCTACTAAAATTTGAATATTTTTAAGTAATTTCAAGCTCTATTATGTGCGATAAATAATATTATTTAATTGGACTGAAAAACATATTGGGTTATTATTAATTAAAAAGAAATGATAATAACAATAATAATTAAAGCTATTATTTCATATAATAATTAAATATGTTATTTCAACGGCAATAAAGCTATTATATCGTATAATATAGTGTAATGTACACACAATAATAATACTATTATTGTGTATTTTTCACTATAATCACAATATACATATATATATATCTGTTATTTACCGATGTTAAATTTACAAGAAAAAAAATGTCACGATATTTTTCCACAGGCGTCGGGTGCAAAATCGGAGGTTTCCTGACAGTTTTCTCGTCTCAACTATCAGTTTTCGCATTATGCTTGTTAACGCTTGAACGGTGGTACTCAATTCGCAGGGCACTGTACACAAACAAAATGACGTTCGCTTCAACCGTGAGAATAATGGCCTTTGGATGGGTATATTCAATTGCGATGGCTACCATGCCGTTACTGGGCATATCAAGTTATTCTACTACCAGGTAAACACTCTGTCGAAATCGTATTAATTGTAAATAAATAAATAATTAGATACAATATAGTAAGTAGGTGAGTAAACACGTTGACGGTTTCGAAAAATACGAATTTTAGAGAATACTATAATATATGGCAGTGGTTCCCAAACTGGGAGAAAGGGGAGGCGCGAGCTACTTGTTAAATAATGTTAATGTTTTTTTTTTTTTTAAATCAACAATAATGCCGCATACAGTTATATTGTAAGATTTTTCTTAATTCGGGGATTTTCAAGAAAGTCGCTACATCTAGCGTCCAGCATCATAGCGTCATCGATAACCCAATATTATCGCGTCTACGGAAAAATTAAAATATTTGTATATTTAAATACTATAAATTATTATTTTTATTTTTAAGGTGGCTTGAATTAAAAAAGTTTGGAAGTCGCTGATATATGGTGTAGGTTAGGTTATACCTACTTATAAGATATATTATTATGCGAGTGATATTAATATATATATATATTAACGAAACGCCATAATCGATCGTGTTACAATTGACATCGTTTTAAAAATTATAACAGCATTTCCCGTAAAGTTATATACTCTCCAAAATATATATTATAAGTAAATGCAAACAGTTTTAGTAACGCTATACGTCTTTTAAACATGCTAATAATAGTATTATGTTACGATCAAGTCGTGAAAGTTATATAATGTCATAGTATATAAATATCAAATAACTGACAAAACGACTCAAAATACCTAAATGAAAATCGTTCTTATTTAAAATCGGCTTGTTTTCAATTTTCATTAGGATTACATTGTCATAATTTATTCAAAATTAATTTTAGTTCGTAATTTTCAAAACGTGATTTGAATATGAAAATTATGATTCGTGCCAATGGGTTTGACGTCTAAAGCAACTCATGCGTTCATATTATATAGTTTAACATAATCTTAAAAGTTGGTTAAATTTATATGTTAGACCATATTGTAATAATATATACAATCTAATGTGTGTAATGGCGCGCGTTAATGGTATCAAACATTTAGTATTTCCTTCATTATTTTATAGACAGATGTAATTAATAACGAACGAACCAGTAAAATGTAGGTATTCCTGCCTTATGTAATGAATGATAACTATTCAATTTGTTTGTAGTTTTATCCTTCTGAAATGGTTCATATGAATTAACATTAAAAAAAAAGTATGACAAGAAAAAATGAAGTATGCATTTTGTTTTTGACTTTGTTGTTATTGAAGTATGATATGTGTGTAAATGCACTAAAGATAATGTTAAGGTCAAATATTAAAGTATAAAATTCGAATTTTAATTGTTTGATGATCCCACCAATATCCATAAATCAAAATATATAATTTATTCAATTTTAAAGTAATTATCATTTATTTTACATTTCTATACAGATTTAAGATTTTCAAAAGATATAAGTACATCTTACATACATCGTTTTTGAGAGTAGGAAACTACTGTAAAAAAATGTTTTCATAATAATAATAGAAAAAAATTGAAAAAAAAATGCACGTCAATAATATCAATATTAAACTCCTATGTAGGAAACGAATGAAAATTATTTATTAAATCCGTATGACCAGAGTGTTAAAATCGTAATAAAGAAAACAAACTATGGCGTTATCGAAATGTTGCCATAAGCATTAGTTTTTGATTAAACATCTGTGACATATGTCAAAACCTTAATTTATATAAACTTAAGGTAGGTCGTAGGTACTTGGTGCAATAAAAAGCGTTGTAATTAATTGTATAACAGTTACGTAATATAGTAATTTCTACCACCTAATCGATATTAGTGTTTTATTATAATTTATTATGTTCAAATAAATGTTTGGATGTAAAATTGAAAATCACGAGTCGAGTAGCGTATTGGATGAAAAAAAAAAATTGAAAAAAATTACATCACCTCCATCCATAACCGAAGTGTGTTTACATATTATGTACTCGTCCATGACCATGTCCACTGTACATACCTGTTGGTATATTAACACTATACGTGTCCCATATAATATCTGAGCGGAAAATGGCAGTATGTACTACCTATATTATTAGAATTCGGTTTTATGCAAATACACATAGTATAACTATAACAGTTTTAGTAAATATTTCGTGGAATATATATATATGAATATATAATAAATAATATATATACATAATAAGTATTAAGTTCATACAACTACTATATAGGAAGAAACACGAAGACCTGACAAATGAAATTACTTTTTTTGTAATCGATATTAAAATTTTTTTTTACTCTTGCGCTACACGTGTAATAAAACATTTTTTATTTTTTAATACCAATATACAAATAATAAAAAAATGTCTGATGTAAAAAATATTTAAAATTCAAAAAGTATATAAAGTACTTTTTTAAAAATATTTTAAGAAAATTATTGAATATGTAATTGATACTTGTTAAATTCTAAATATTTTTTTAAAAAGTTATTAGTTTTCAAATTAATGAGTCTAACTTAAAAAATTTGAACGTTTCAAAAAATTATAAAAAATTAACTACATGACTTAAATAAATATTTTTTCATTATGAAAATTCTTTCGAAAACCAGGTTTACTAATTATCTATTTAAAAATTCTAGTCAAGTTAAAATATTTTTATTTTCAGTGGATACTTATTAAAAAAATCAAAATCAAAAATTGTAATAATACGTGTAGCGCAAGAGTAAATAAATAATATATTATTATAATGTAATAATATATAATATAATAATATATTATATAATATATTATATATATTATATAAAAAACAATTTAAAGATATTAGAACCAATAAGTTATTTCATATGTCAGGTCTTCCTGTTACACCCTGCTGCAATAAACACTATGTACAAGTATATGGTGTACTACATCAGCTGATCAGTACCGACCATAATATTATATTATTATACACGCTTTAAGCCCAAAATCCGTCGTCGATAGCATGCGTAACAACAACAATAACAACGTCAACGACAATAATAATATGCCGTGCCATGTAACAACATTGTATTACGTACAGCTACAGGTCGTAGTTAGAACGACGAAACAACAATAAAGCGTCGAGTACCTATGTGCCTACATAATAGTAATATTATATAATATATATACACACACAGCTAGGCACGAGTGTACAGCATTACATATATCACATAAATAATGTATTATAATATTACGTATATGTAATAATATATATCTATGGGTAGGTACTCTGTGAAAGTGTAGTCGGTGGGACTCGACGAGAACGACTTTTGCTGGTTTATTGGTGGGGGAGGGGCTGGGTGGAAAACTGCTGGTTTTCCAGTGAAAACCGTGGCGGCGTCGGCGGTCAAACGTTTGAGGTCAAGTCGAGAACGTCCGCGGTGTAGTTGGTGCTTGTGTTTATAACTATTGTTCATTTATATATAATATAGTACACTCACGATAGTAATATATTGTTATCGATGTTGTTGCTATTGTTGTAGTTGCTGCGGGGGGGGGGTTAATTATCATATCACTGTGAAGGGGAGGGGCCGCCATCGATTCCGCCAATGATATAGCGTCGATTCCATCATTCTTGATGGAAAACTGAAAACAATTTTAAAATGTTTGGGGGTGAAATGTCAGTTTTGGGAGAAATAAATCTCGTCCGATTACGCCAGTAAGTAGGTTACATACTAGTTTCAAAACAACCTATCGTGATTCAGTCTCACCTATCATATTGTTTACCCTCAGTCGTCCTGGTTATTTCTAAATTTTCTTATTCAATCCAAAAATAATTTAATGTCAAAATATTTTTAGACATTTGCTAATAATTTTCTTCACTGCTGCCTTTTGTGGTGGAATGTACGAGGGTGCCTTTTCATCTGACCCAGTTGGTACACGGTCAACAAACTGACTGTCGACTAATCGCTTTTTCATCACCCTTTTCATGATCAAATCGTTACAATTTTCTAAAATTACGCATAACCGGGGGATGATTAAAAAAAAAAAAAACACTTACACGTCTCGCGCGGAGAAACTGCAAGTCCGCTGAGTTGAACTTCGTCTTGCAACGATATTTATAAATTCGAAATTTAAAGACATTTTTTTCCATAAAAATCGATATTGTTTTTCACTCGACATAATACGGTATCGGGTATAGGTACTTCTCGATTTTCACTCTCATATCAGTGTCCGCGAGATATTTGACACAACTTTGACGTATTTCTGACCGAGCCTACTACATATTTATCACTATCGGTATCCACTCCATTGACGAAAATACCTGATCTCGGCGGCGTTGGTATTGAACGCCGTATTCAAGGTCGACACCGATCGATAGACTTACACACATTAAAATATTATCTTACCTCGGGACCGATTCATACATATTTTATATGATAGAGGATATTATAGACCGGACGGCTTCTCAGCGTCTGTGGCCAAGAGGGGTAGGCAGCCCACTCCGAAATTTCGGGCAAATGTAATAATGCGTTCTGCAGTGTTCTGTGAACACACGACGTAAGACTCAACCATAATATTATATAATATTAAAACTATAATTTGTATGGAGGTTACTGCAAAAGTCTTAAATGTTATAGTAGTACATCCACGGCGTAATCAGGCCTATAACGTCTTATGAGGGATCATAGTAAAGCCTCCCCTATACAATGAATTGTCAGTATTATTCCCCAAAATAAAAACAAAATCCTGACTGAGCCATTGTCTGGGAGGCTCAATATTTATTATTATCTCATTATATGGGGGCTGAATAATAATTGTAGACGGAGACGTGTCACAATCCCCTAATGTGCGTTACACATACACCACACATCCAATTACTATCATCGTGTTCAAATAGCATTTTTAAAACATCTTACGAATCATCAGCATTGTTCATACAAAGTAGTGTGACCTAAATCAGAACAATTATCGATGATGGGTGGGTGTGTGGGGCTTATGCCTACTGATAATTTGTTTGAGGTGACATGTTTTTTTTGTCTCGATATGCTCTTATGATTCATTTAACATTTTTTAACGTAAGATACTCATTATTCAAATAGTATCAATGTTTATATTTTCAATATATTTTTTTTACAATATGGTTTCAAATCGTTACAGGACAATTTTTTTTTTATAAATTATATATTTTTTATACTTATAATTTTGTAACTTTTAACTTTTTTGAATGACACCATACGATTTTAATTTCAATTTCGAAAGCAGAATATTTTTCTGAATATTTTGATACATACAAGTAGAATTTAATATAGGTATAAGTAGTTTATGAGTTACTGTACCTATTAAAAGTTTAGATGAGTGGACCAACATTTTACTGGGTAACATCGTAAAATGTTAACATTCATCCACTCAGTTCATCTTAACTTAAAAGTTTAGATACTCATAAACTACTCGTTCTGAATTCGATTTTTATGTATCAAAATATAGGTAATAGAAAAATATGCTGCTCTGGAGTATGAAATTAAAACAAAAATATGTTGTCATTATAAAAAAAAGTAAAAACTTAAAAAATGTTGGGGATAAAAAATTAACTATTTTTTTTAAAAATTTTGTTTTTAACGACTAGAAAGTAGAAACCACGTAAAATTTGTTCTTTCAAAAACCTTTTTTTTTTTTTTTTGAAATAATGAATGTTCTGCAATGATAAAAGTATCACCTGCAGTCATCTTAATAACATTTTAAATTGGTAGGTGCCTATAGCATATTAACAATAATACATATTTTATCGTCATAGTTATTTGTTGTTGTTGTTGTTGTTGTTGTTGTCGTTGTCGTCATTATTATTATTATTATTACTATTATTATTAATAACGATCAACTGATGTCGTTTTCCCACAGCATTTGCCTGCCGATGGACACGGCCCACGCGAGCGGCATGTGCTACGTATTCACTCTGTTGGCTTTCGGTGCGGCGGCGTTCGTGTTGATGCTATTTTGCTACGTTCAAATTTACATGTCACTTAGCTACGAGACCCGACACGCGGCCAAGGGCGAGGCGTCCGTGGCCCGCAAGATATCCGTTTTGATCGGCACAAACTTCGCTTGCACCGCTCCGGTCATCTTCTTCGGCTTCACCGCACTGCTCGGCTACCCGCTCATCGACGTCACCAAGTCAAAGATACTGCTCGTGTTCTTCTATCCCATCAACTCGTGCGCCAACCCGTTCCTCTACACCATACTCACGGCCAGTTTCAGACGCGAAGCCTTCTCAACCGTCGCCAAGTGAGCACCGTAGTCTTGTGTACAGTAAAATACTATATAAGTACATAATACTTATATTATATTATTATGATATACGATCAGTGGTGTAGTGGTGGGTACACTTGTGGGTACAGGGTGTGTACCCTTAACGAAAATCGTGGTACGACACCCAAGTAATTTTTTACAAGGATTGTACCCATAGGGGGACAAGGCGTGTGCCCATAAACTTTTTACATCACTGATTATGCGATATACTATACGATACCAGGTGAGTGTCTTATCACTGAACCGCTCGTAGTGGCAAAAAGCATAAATGTTTTAAAATTTTACCTGAGTGTCAGTCGTTCGAAAACAAACATTATTTAAAAAAAAATATAGATATATTTTAATATTGTATACATATGTTATACCCTTAACACGTTTTTTTTTTTACTTTTTTGAATGACAACTTTAAGTTGTTTTAATTTAATATTCCGAAGCACACACCTTTTCTTAGTATTTTGATACATTAAAACAAATTTAGGACAAGTATAGCTTATAAGTTATAAGTATTTAAGGTTATAACTCGTAATCTACTTTTCCTGCATTCAAATTTTATATATGAGAATACTCAGAAAAAATTATTTGCTTTCGAAGATTAAATTAAAACTATATGTTGTAATTCAAAATAGTAAAAAACTTAAAATATTATACTATGGATATAAAATATTTAAAAATATAATTTTTTAATAAAAACGTTGTTATTACGTCTTCAGGCCACATAAAAAATATTTTTAAAACATTATTACTTTTTGAGGAGTGTTCTACGTTAGATGATCCATCCGGTATTATATAGTCGACTGGCCAAAAGCTTCTAATGCTGTGTTCTGAATACTTTTGATAGTATTTCGAAGTATATACTTTTAAAGTATTACAATTACATTTTTATTTTAATACATTTATTGATAAGTCATACATCATAAATTAACACATTTATACAAATACTATTTTAACACTGGCCATAATTTAAAATTGTCCAAAAAACCTAAGAGCTTAAAAGTATTTTATATATTATCTGCTTATTTGAAATACTATTTTTCATAAGTATTCAAGAATTTCTTACAAATATGCTAGTTAGCAGTGGCGTCAATTCAATATAACCACTAAGGTTGTTTTGCAAAAAAATAAAAATATTTATTTCTACCTTCAAGGCCCATCAACGTTTTTGAAAAATATTTTTGTACCTTATTTTTACTTGTTATTAACAACATTTTTCCAAAAATGATATTTGATTATTTTAATTGGTTATAATTTTTTTTTTTTAAATAGTGTTTATTATTTAATTTTTAATTTTTTTTTATCTTGTATACAAAATGTCTACCAGAAGGAGTGCTTCGATTTCAACATAATATTATAGTACCTTATCTTTTAGAAAATTGGATCAATATGGTACTTATAAAGGAGGTTATTTATCGATTTTCTCAATAGTTATTTAATACCACGGGAAAAACTACTGACAAACTATGAAAAACCGCTTAAAATGGGATTTTACTTTCTAACGATTTTTTTATCACCGTAGCAACGAATAAAAAATAGTAATATTATAATATTAATTCAACTTACAGGCTATAATAAATAATAACAATATAAAAATGCAGACTGACAAACCATATCCGCTCAGATTCGTTTTTCTTATATCGTTGAATTCAAGTTTAATACAATCCATTATACATTGACATACTTGTAACCTACTGTACATCAGAGCGACATCCACTTACCCGCTTTTTAATAATTTTAAGCAAAATATTTTATACAGTACGTCATATTATTATACATATAAATCGAATTTTCGAAAAGTTGCAACACAATACACCACGTTCATCAAAACTTTGAATAATATTATTCATTATAGCTAATAAACTACTTGTCCGAAATGTGATTTTTATAGATCGAAAGTACTCCGAATAATATTCTGCTTCGGCATAATACGAAATAAAAAATGTATCTTGTCATTCAAAAGAGTAAAAGGTCACTCGCAGGCAAATACAAATGTATACACGACGCACAGAAGACAAGATTTGCAGGGTTTTTTTTATATCATGAGCACAAAAAGAGTAATTTAAGTTTAAAAAAACATAATAATAATAATAATTGTTTTAAAGTTGCATCGTTTTCATACGCTCATATATTATATTTAAACTCAAAAACATATAAAAAAATCAAAATATTATTTCCAAACAACTAAACTTATAATAATACGAATACACACATGACACATTGTACTTGTATATTAAACGTCCAACATATTAACTATTAAGTATAGGTAACAAAGACGTTAGATGTAATTTGAATAGTGTTCATGCCATGCAGACCTTGTTTTCTGTTCGAAAATTTACCGTTAATACGCCAAATATGGAAACGTTTCAGGAGCTTAAGAAAAACGTGGATAGTTATAGGTAGTTGTAATTTAAAAGCCATAATCCAAATGACGCCATTGCTTATTAGTTATTATAGCTATAGCTTAATGCTTATACCGTTTTGATAAGTCGTTGTCAGTCCTCCCACACTATTTGTACTAACCATTATACTCTCACGTTCTCGGGGGCGTAATCGAGATTTCCACGTACAATAGAAATTAATATTTTTGCTAATCAACTCCTTTATCCCGACGTTTCCTCCCCCTGTCAATTTCTTATAATTTTTGCTCGCTTGTGATTCTTATATAATTTTCAGGACTTTCATTATAAAATAATAATTTGGTAGGTATTTACTAAAAGCTATATTATCATGCATATTATATTATATTAATTGTACTTTTACAACAACTACCTAAGGTTAACGATAGTTTGTAAATCATCATCGTTATAGTTATCACTTATCTACTACAGCCATCACGCGTTACAGCTAACGTTAAAGTTTTTTTTTTTTTTTTTTAATGAAGAATCAAATCGGTTTGTGAATAATTAATGCACTTCGTTATAGAATAAAACATTTTACTGCTTCTATAAACTTGGCAATATTGTACAACCACCGAACAACGGACGTGTTTGGGGATTTGTAAATATGAAGCCAAACAAATAGAATTATAAAAATTGACATCAACAATGAAAATCGAGTATATGTACATATTATATAATAATATATATATATAGGTAAGTATATAGTCGAAAATCGGTTATTATTTCGCTCCGTTATTTGTCGTCTTTCGTAAACGGACAAAGCGGACAAAAACCCATTTTTTTTTTATAAACTCGTGACGAGACCTTTTAATTGTGTACGTTCGTCGAACGACGTATTTCTCCTTGCAGTGCGTTTTGTGCAAAAGCCTAGTGTGTTTGAGCTGAGAATAATTTTTTTTCCTCCATATAGGCTCGAATATAATGCGACTTACGTATAGAACATAATATTGTACGCGATCAAAATATAATATACAATCGGAATTTTTCCAACATCAATCGGTAGGTATTTGATTTTGTAGTAGTCCGTCCCGCGTTTTGTCGTGAAACCTTTGGCAGGACCATAGCTGGTAAACTCGATATTATACAGGGTGATTATTTAACCATGCTCATGCACATGATTATTTGAAAAAAAAACAGAAGTTTGTATTGCCACAGTATCAGTTTTAAGTGGTACGAAAAAAATCTCAACAATTTGAAAATGTGGTCTTTAAGTGTACTTAAAAATTCCGAAAATCAGTATTTGTATAATTTGAGAACAACAATAAGGTGAGCAATGAGCATGATTAAAATGATCAGTCTGTACGACTGACGTGCATATACATAGGTGTAAAAATTTGCATTTAAATAATGATTTTATAAAAAAAATATATTCGAATAGTAGTGGCAGTAGTGCCGTAGTACCTATATCCGTGTGTGTATTATTTCATACATATCATTATGTGTATATATTCGCGTAACTTTTCTCCTTTTAGCCCCTGCGGCTAATCCCACAAAGAGAAAATACAAAATAAATTTGTATACGATACGAAGGTTATGTACCTCGGAAATAGATGAATGGTCGCCAGTCGTCTCGTCGCAATCACACACCTATCATTTGCACACGAACACAAACGCGGTTCATCGTCCTCCCTCGGGTGGTTAGTACCTACGTAGGTAGGTATAGACAATTTTGTCGAGAGTAAACAAACTGTGAGGTCGGAGTTTGGACGGTTCACAATAATTTTGTCGTTGAAAAAAAAATATCAAAAACAAATCGGTTTACGTAATATATTCAAATTGATTTTTGACTTTTCGAAGTGCGACTAGCGCGGTGGCGAGTACTTATATTATTTCATTACAGTAGAATTGCCAAAAACAACTTGGCGGTAGGAAAATGTAAAAAAATTATTGAACCACAGCCACCGCTGGCGTCTAGAGCCCCGCGACCTTGAAATGAAAAAAAATTTTAAATCTCTATATAGCCCACCTACGCGTTTCGTACGAAAAGGTCCTTTGATCCAAATGTCGGCAGTGCGTATATTATGATATTCCTAAGGGACTTTTATTCTAAGGACACATATATATATATAATATTATATTGCCGCTCAATCAAATTCCCACCACTGTTCGTCGGCCAATATTATTCACGCAAAATACAAACGAGTCGATATATTTAGTGACTACGCGGAATAATTTTTATTGAAATCGGCAAAAGTTGAAAGACGAAAAAATTTAATTTTCTGAAAAGTCGAGTTGCTCGACGGGAGCGGGGATGATTCTGTGAACCGTTTTTTTTTCATACACATTATGTCATCGATTTTGTTTGATACATTATTATTACGAATGGATATTAGATTGTAAAAAAAAAAATCCTAATGAAGTATAATAGATACCTATACAACTCTGATATGAAAACCAACGACGAAGTTATATTATTATAATATATTATAGGTACCCAGTTTAGTTGGTGAAAAGAACGATCCGAGTTGTTAACCTTTTCACTGCTACACTATTTATGCTCTGCAACCTGTGTACGCTGCATGTAATTATTTTGATTTTGAGATCTATATATGATTTGATTTTTAAACTGCAATATAATGCGACCAGG